ATGGCGGACAGATGCACTCCCGCCTGGCACAAAGCGCCGAGTATATTCACACGGCCACAAAGCCTTTGGCCTTTTTTGCCTCGCGAAGAACCCCCGAATATTTCAAACGCTTGGGAGCGTACGGTTTCAGATGTTTTTTTTACTTATATCAACCTGGAATCTTGTTTTATGCCCAACGGGTTTTGTCTTTTGTTAAATGCTCGTCTAACTAATGACAGGTTGAAATGATTTTTAAGTTGATGGACCCAATTTTTTTTCTGAAATTGTTGGTTCGGCGTCATTTGGTGTTTAGACCGAACTCTTAGTGGAAAACTTCTCGGTATATTGTTTGATTGACACTAGAGCAATATACTCGTAGCAACAATATTGTTAGGTTTATTACCGCCTCATCTTAAGGACAAATGATGGAGACTTTACGTCACAGTTATAATTGCCGATCTAAGTATGGTCAAGCCATGTCTATTGACTGGTGAAGTATGAACATAAGTAATTGCAGCACCTTATTGTGATTGTATTGTAATACTATTATGGATCAAATTAATAATTAAAAGTACTTGTTATTACTATGGCAAAAAATATTATCTCGTGGTTTTCCCAGGGTCAATTTGTCACAAAAAGCCCACCAAGGTTCAATTATAAAGACTTGTCACAAAACAAATTGATGCGTTCAAGTTTATGATGAATTCACTATTAGTAGTAATCAAAACGCTTAATCAGAAGTCAGGGGTCCTTTTATTTGACTCAAATTCTACCTCTACTAAGATACAATTCCATCTGTACATATTTGGTAGCGCAAGAAAGTGCAAATATTGTCGCGGAGCTGCGCCGGCGATGATCGCTGAAGTTCCCCGAACACCATAAATAAATATGCCCAATAAAAACCGCGCTATGCCACACCAAACCAAGAAAATGGACGATTAAAATCAAAAAGAAACTACAACACGGTCTCTTTTGTCTTACCCGTGTCTACAACAGGCTTTTATATTTCGGACGGGCGAAAAAAACGACCGCGCGCTCAGGTATTATACCCTCCACTTCGGATCCCCAAACTTTTTATTGTTATTCTTTTCAATAATCTGCATGTTTTATTGCTTGTTAGGCAGTTTGTTACTAATTATAAGCGGGAACACCAGTAGCAGGAAGCTTTGATTACCAAAATGCGTCGGAGCCTTTTTTGTTATCCGAACTGATAATTTATATCCCGAAGCCACAATAATAAGTTTATTTTAAGCTAAAGTTATTCCGAGTTGTATTACGAAACGTAATGACTAATTTGATTGGTTATTAGACGGCGATTTGGTACCTAGTGCATCCGCAACGCAAGAGGAAATGTGTTAGTCGTTATTTATGTAAATTGCCGTGTAGTTAGCAAAAAATCTTATTTATTTTATTTATGTGCATAAGAACCGATTTCCTGTGAATTTCCTAGTCACAGTCACTGGTAGACAGCTGTTGGTGACTTTGTTGTTATGAGTTCAATTTGTGCCGTGACTTGAATAGCATATTGGCATTCCATCACTGTTGTTTAGCGAAGGAAAAACTTGTGTGGAATATAGAATTCTTAGAAGTATAAACTGGACAGCCACAGAAGCATGTCCCAGGTTTTATGCTATGATTGGACCTAAGGGGCACCTATAAAGTTATGAGTTACTGTCGATTGTAAAAATGTTTTGTGAATCCAGCTCCGGCGGGGTATCTATGCTATTACACACTCTGGATTGATGGTAATCCAGCGGAGTGGTGGTTAAGATCGAATTATTTTTACTGCCCGCTCCCTTACAGCGAGCAATCACGATAAACACAAGGCGATAAGGATGCACCGTGTTTGCTGAAACTATCGACGTTTTATTTGTCGACACTTTTACGAGGTCGATTGGTCGATATTTTTTTTACTTATATTTATAAGTCGTCGTATCTTGTCAAATAAATGGTGAAGTTGTTGATTTAGTACTGACAATGTAAAGATAAAAGTAGTTATTATGGATAGATTATGATTATTACATTATGAAGATGTTAAAACTAATTATAATTTTCCCTCAAAAGATACTTTATTTATATGTCAATAACTACAAGATTTACATTGTAACGAGTTTATAGGTGAGGTTCAGGCTAAGCTATGTAACTCTAATATAAGAAAGTACATTAGGAAATCCCAACTAATATTATAAATGCGAAAGTAACTCTGTCTGTCTGTCTGTCTGTCTGTCTGTCTGTCTGTCTGTCTGTCTGTCTGTCTGTTACGCTTTCCCGCTTAAACCTCGCAACCGATTTTGATGAAATTTGGCATAGAGATAGTTTGAGTCCCGGGAAAGAACATAGGATAGTTTTTATCCCGGTTTTTGAAACAGGGACGCGCGCGATAAAGTTTTTCTGTGACAGACAAAATTCCACGCGGGCGAAGCCGCGGGCGGAAAGCTAGTATCGATATATCGATAAGCTGGAGCTTGTCTAAAGAAAGAAAAAGGATAATCACCAGAGTCTCTAGGGCCTTTGTTCAATAATATAGACGTAGTTTTANAATCACCAGAGTCTCTAGGGCCTTTGTTCAATAATATAGACGTAGTTTTACAACTATCACGGACAGCGCAGGCATTGCACCGCAATATAGGGCTGGTGCAATCATTAAGTAGGTACAAAGCTGGGCTAAAGGAAAACCGGTAAACATGCTGTATGACACAAATTACAAAAACACTGCTACAGATATTGCGTTTAGAAGCTTCTGATGCTGGTGTAGGGGAGAGTCTTATTTTTCTTTCTTTCTTCTATTTTACAGCCGAAAGACGTCTACGCTGGGCTGGGACAAAGATTCTTCCAGCGACTGATCTAGTGCCCACGAGGTCACTTCAGCTGACAATTATTTTAAGCTTACGAAAAAACTGTGTAATGTGACTGCTATATGAGCTACTGTACCATTTTATTTACTAAGAAATTGAGAAGGTCTTGCATACGGTTGGTATTTCAACGCTGCAAAAATAACGTCTCCTACACTATTTTCTATTTTTCTTCTAGAGCTCAGACTTTCAGAGGTATTATTAATTGTACTGAATCATCTTTGAAACTGCGTCGGAACTCTAACCTCTGTGCAGTAATATTTGATGAGGATTACTATTAGATACAAATTTATCTTATTTAGATTGGAATCAGGTGATGTTTGCTCTCTCGGAGACGTTATTGGTAACTCTACCTGATAACGCAATCTGGACAAATAATATCGAGCTCAATTATTGATATGACCCATCAGAGTACTTGTACTTTTACTACTGGATCCCAAAATTATAGGTTTTCAAGAGTGAATAGACATACAGGGTAGGTAAGTACGAGTATGTAACGTAGACAAAAAGTTGGCAATACGTCGTTGTTACTTGGAATATGGTTGTGTTGTTAGCTTTTGGTCACTTTGGGTGTCACGAACTATTTGAAGCTCACTGTACCATCCTAGACTGACTCCAGCTCACTTAACATCAGGTGCTATTTTGGTCAAAGGGCTGGTTGAGTCATAACCATAGAGATAATTACAGTGCTATCCTTTTTATTTCGAAAATTATATCATGTACGAGTAAACTATATTATACTAACTTTACATCGCAAATACTAAGTAGTACACTTTTTTAAGACCAGTGTATTTCATCGAGAAAAAATAGTTTAACATACAACTTTTGTCAGTTTTGCGGTGTAAAATAATTTATGCATATTTTTGTAAACGGAATGAGCTGACATGAATCTCATCTACTTGCACACTGCAATGGCAATTTTAATGGAGATACCAATAAACATTTCACTTATGTAGATTATACTTAACTACGTACCACTTTTAAATTAAAATATGTTTATTTATAGAATCAATGCGCTCTAGGTATTGCCATTTTACGTAATAATTTTATTCTGCTTCAAGTGTTCTTTGTGAAAGGAAGGCATATATTATGGAAATGGTACGTTCTGGCCATAATTAGTGAATCGATGTGCTGTAGATACCTACATCATAAATTAAAAATAAAACTACTAGTAGTTTATCTTTAATTGTATTCAAAATAGAAGAAATAAATAAATAAACGAAAACAATATTTTAAAAAGAAAATCCTAATTTCATTTTATTTATCTACACTTAGCTATTATTAATGTGCATGTTGTTATAATTATCACTGATATCTATATTCAAATATGTTTTTATCATCCATCAGTCATCACAAACAAACTCATAAGTCAATTATTCAAATCTGTCATCAGAACCAATGCTATATTTTAGCAATTTATCAAGATTTTACATTTTTTTTAAAAACGAACGAAGATCTTCTATCGAAGAGTTAGAGCCAAAGCACATGATGCGTTGTGGGCTACGGGTACCGACCGCGCTGCTCGTGTGCCCAGCACAGATTTTCTATATAAGACAACGCAGCGACACCGCTCCCGTGTCGCATCGCCACCGCAACGCATCATATGCTTTGGCTCTCAGGTGCGCAGACGCAATCAAATGCTGCCGGCGCTTCGTGCTGCGCGCGAGTGGGTTGTTACGAGTACGTCGCTTGCAATTGAACATTGCCTGTAGCCTTCGGGGAAAACTTGATCACAAAGTACCCAATTTCATGGAACCGTGTGAAATTCACACTATATTTAAGATTAACATCCTTCCATAAAATTTTAATTTCGATGCCCAAAATATTGCGCAGAATTATTAGTAATTACTAAACTAAGGTTCAGATTCAAGTGGTGATGGATACGATAGTAAAAATAAACTTTCTGGTTTCTGCCCCTAGGTCGCATAAAGGGCAAGTCGTGTACTTGTGTGTCATAAATAATTACATAGTATTTATCCTGTAGGTACCCTGAAATAAATTATCCGTACATTTCCACAGTTGATACCTATTGTATTGCTTGATATTACTCGTACCGTATCTTCATTATTTACACATGTCTAAAATTAAGTTTAATACAATATTTATATTTGATAAAATAGACACTATTTAAATGCGATAAATCTACGATCTTCACTTGAAACAGTAACAATGGTGAACTTAACAGTTGCGAACGTTTCCAAACGGCTTACAGAAGAAGTGATTGATAGATGTTTTAAAATTAAAACCAATAGTAAAGACTCACCCAAATCTATTGTTGTAACAAAAGCTGCGCCAGCAGGCGAAGGGCTCATTAGTGCTGTATACAGGATCCACGTCACAGGATCTCACCACCAAACATCGTTTGTGGCAAAGGGATTAGTTAGCGACCGTCTTTTAAGGCGGAGTTTACGCTGTTCAATTTTCTTCGAGAGAGAAGCCATGTTCTTCTCACAAATACTACCACAGTTCAAAGAAGTGCAAAAATCATCTGGAGCCAAGGAAAGTATACAGAACAATATTCCCATCTGCTATGCCTATCACATAGGTGATGAAGACGATTACATTCTCCTGGAAGATTTATCTGAAACTGCATGTGAGTCAGTAGCAACGCCGACAAAAACAGAAAGAGATTTAACATTGCAGGCTTTAGCTCATATGCATGCTGTTTCAATTGCTCTTAGAACAAAAAGACCTAGGGTGTTCTTTGAATTAGCAAGTAAAATACCTGAAATTTATTACACAGATAGTAATCAAGCTTGGTATGCTAAATATCTGCAAAACGCAATTGATATCGACAAAAATGTTATAAGAGAATTTGAAGACGAATCAAGTATTTACTTTAAGAAATTTATGAATCTTGTGGAAAATGATTTTTATAGACAAGTGAGAGAATTATTAGCAACTCCGAAGGACCATCCAGTGATGAACCACGGGGACGCTTGGCTACCAAACTTTATGTGTTCCAAGAAGAGGGCCGTGGCGATTGACTTTCAACTATTCAGATGTGCTTCGCTTGCTACGGACTTGAGTTTTTACCTTTGTCTTTGTGGTAACCTGTGCCTGAATGAAAAATACTTCTTTGAAGCAGTCAAGATCTACTATAATTTTCTAGTGCATTATTTAGAAGACATGGGTCTGAATGCGAGTGAAATATTTTCATGGGAAGACTTGTGGATGGAGCTGAAGATGTATGGGAGATTTGGTGTGTTGGCTGCTCTCACGACTATACCGCTACTAGCAAGTCAGAGGTGTGATGTGGGACTGCCGTTTGAAGACAAGTATGGGGACGTGGAAAGAATACCATTAGAAGATCTCTGGCGTTTGACTCCAATTCGAGATTTGGATAAAAAAAAGGGACTCGTGAACGCTGTTCGCGTTGCGGTCGATGTAGGTCTTATTTAAACAGGTTTATTTCTCTACATTAACCAATAATAAATAATCAATTATGTGCTTATATTGTTTCATAATTCAAATGTTAATTCAGTATTCTGACCAGCAAAGTCGAAACTAGCTTAAATAAGACGATTGTTGAACAAAGCCATTGAGTGCTTCAAAATTTATATTCCCAGTTAAAACTGTTCTAGAACAAGGCAAGATTGCATCGTGACGCTTCTATTTCCGAATCTTTTAGCAATAATCAAAAGCAATTACCGAGTAGCGTATCACGTAATTCTTGTCTAACTTTTTGTTGCACCGTGTGTTATCTAAAGTATTCCCTGGCTGTTAACGGAACTGTAATGCTAAAAGATCGTTAAGTGCGCCTTGCGAACCGATTTGTATAAAAATTGTACATAAAAACACCTGTATCTCTGAGATAAGCCTTGAGATGAGTCGACAGTTGCGGTGGAATGTTTGACTCGTGACCGCCTGAGAGCCGAAAAGTAATTATCGCGGTTATGTAGGATGGTAGAGTTAGGGCCACTGTGCACTAGAGCGAGGGAGCGAATACTACGCAAGCATAAGTTTGCAAGCACACTTTGTTATTAAAGGTATCACTTTATTTCACTAAAATTGGGTAACGCGCATTGAATATTCTACATAGTAGATACACGATAGTAATACACGAAGATTCGTGGCAATTTTTTTTATTTTTCATAGACGACATCGAAACTATTGGCTTGATAGATGATTCATTATGGGTACGAAGTCCAACTTAACAGAAATATTGTATCACATCTCAAGTTCCAATACTTCCAATGTAACACTAACGTGTGTCATGTTTCGCTCCAAAATGAGCGCTCAACCGTATGAAGTGGACTGACATTTCGGTATGTTCTGTATGCTTTGATGTTCTGACCGACTAGACAGTTTTTTCGTTCTGTGATGCTGGCTAGTCGAACGCTACCTTTATTTCCAAACTCCGTCGCTTCGTGTGTACTCAATAGACACTATTACACACAAAGGTAGGATGATTTGACTTTACTAAGATTGAATACTGGCTCGCCCCGTACACGAGCACTTCAGTAACCGTATTACTTTATAAATGTTATAAAGAATTAATTCTTATTAATAAATTGTAATTGGCTCAACCGTTTCGAAATAAGTAAAATATAGGAAGGTGATTATTTTTTTCAAACATCTGCAATTCATAACAAATCTGTCGAAAAAAAGAAATCTGAAAAAAGTCAACCCAAAAAAAAGATAAAAATGTTTAAAGCCTACTAGGTCATAAAATTTTAAAATATTACAAAATTAACTCTATCTCCTAAACTAAGCACAATCGTATAATATACATGGGGGTGATTTAGGTACACCTTGATGTAAGAAATCTAAATTTTTCTTTTAGACCTCACTGTTTTGGCCACCCTGTATTGTATCATCAATAAGAATAATACAAAATATTTTATTAATTGCATTTTTAATCGTGGCTAGTTTTTTCGCTCGATAACATTTGCAAATGATACGCATAATACCAAAGATAGGAATGTAAAAGCCAGATCGCATGCACAACACGGAGTCATATTGGCGTATCTATGAAAACTGTTAAAACAGGCCCCAGGAATGCGGCGCAAAAGCGAAATATTATACTTTGAGCGTGTGTTACTAATTGTTTATTCGGTGCGCATGAGTTCCATGGCAGAGCCATTTAAATACGTTTAGCAAAAATAGTTATGTTACAAAAATTGACAAAATATCGCGAAGTGGATAATGGTTATACCAAATATTTCGACGTTGAACGCAGTTAGGGCTATCATTTGGAATCTTTAATGCGAAATGAGAAGGCTAAAATTGGTAACTGTAAAACTTTTTTGGATATCTTAAAAGTTAAACGACTTGACCACTGGAAAATTGAGGAGCAACATGGTTATTTTTGAAGACGCTCCCGGCAAATATACGTTTTTGGTACCTTGTACTATATCTAGGAACTGTAGGAACTGTATAGTAAGAATATGATAATGATTTCCAGGGTCACTTACTTGGTTGATGCTCCTTGGCAACGTAGAATGGCACGAAGAGAACACCAAAATAGGTTCGTTCTACACTACAAGTACCTAACGTGATAAATGTTTAGTCAGTATGAGAGTGTCGCATCTAATAGTATGGGTACTGAATGCATCAATAAATCTAAATCGAAATGCATATAAAAGCATATTTAAAGGCAGAAGAATGTTTCAGTTTTGTTTATTGACAAAAAGCATTAGTTGTATCTAACTTTGAAGAATAAAATATAATTAGATTTTATTTTTCTTCCATGTTTGTTTGTGTCATTGGCCAGTCAAACAGTTTAGCAGGTTTCGAGAACGTTGGAAGTATGCAAATCGTGATTAACAATGCCGGTCAGAAGGCAAAGGGCACGGCGGAATGAATCCACGTATTCTAGGTAATCGAAACATTTAATTTTGAAGATTAAAGTAATCCTGATAACAAAATATACTTACGAGAATCAAATATTTTATTGAAAGATAGAAGACAAGGCAGGTATTTGAACGCAATCGCACCTGGTGTTAAGTGAGATGCAGTCTAGGATGATACATAAATCTGCCCTGTAAGTGCCTTTTCACTCTCGCCTTGAAAAGGCCCAGATTATAGTGTTCAGGAAATACAGCAGCAGGCAGAGAATTCCAGTCCCTAGCTGTTCGCAATATAAAAGAGTTTATTACTTAAGTAACTCTTTGGATTAGAATCAAACTGAATCATGAAATGATATTGAAACAATACCTACCTACGTCTTACGACACAGAGGTAGTCGTTATTTTCAGTTCAGTTAGCGGAAGTCTGCTTCTATGTAGTTTCGTTCACTGCGCACAAAACTGCTTTGAGCATAATGAATAATTCAACCGTTTACCTGAAAGTCCCAAAGTCGAGAAATTATGCTAAATGCTAATCATGTAAGCGGCGCCGCGTGATTTTCAAAGCAAGCAATTTTATTGCCGATTAAAATGTAAATGCATTAACACATACGATTCGCGACTCTACTGTTAACGGCAATTAAGTAAGCCACAGTCTCGAATTTTGCTAGTTTTTAGAACTAAATAGGAGGTTTTTTGGTTGCAGAAAAAGCTTCATTATATTTTTGTACGATCACCTTTTAAAGTTGCACTAACAAGAGTTCTCATTTGATTTATTATTGGCCATCAAAACTTACGGTCACAAATTTTGATGAGCGTCATTCTCTGTAATTAACTTTTAATAAAATATAATACAAAGCAGCACAAAAGCTCAGCAGAATATCAGAAACATCAAAAAATCTGCGCATACCACCGAGGTGAATATAATTTCATATGCTTAACGAGTTTAGTTCCCAAAAACATAGCCGTGGCCGCAACGTGTGGTAATTATTAATAATTTTACATGGTCATTTAACGGCGGCCGGTATCTCCGGAGGACCAAAAAACCATCCACTCCGCAAGGCACTTAAAATTGTCAGAGAGCACTCCTAAAAAGATAACGCCTTTAACACTAAAAAAAGACGAGTCCATTTTGTAAACAGGTTGTAAACGATCCCGTACGTGGCGACTGTCGGCCGAAAAATGGTGGAGAATCAACAAAAATGATCAAAACAACGGGTATCTAATGACGCCGCTCTTAATAATTTATTGCGTATACAGCAATATAAATCTCAGTGATATACTGTGCTAATTTTGCTTCTTAATTTTCCCTGTCCAGAGGTGACATCGAATTAGCGCACTGCAAACTCAAGCGCATAATTTTGGTCGTTGCAAGTTCAAGAAAAACAATCATGAATGTGCATAATACGAAGTATCAGTTAAGATACAAACAGGTCATTAATAAAACCTATTCAACCTATCCAAGTCTGAATACATTTTGGCTAGGATAAGACAATTTTTTTAAACAAAATAGGATCATTATCTGGAAGTTTTGAATTGATGCTAAGATTTTTAAGGGAGGAAATAGCCATAATTACAGCAGATTTATGCTTTTGAAACCTTAAAAAAGATTCAGTTTAAGGCAGGCTCGGATCTGGTTCTATAGCAGAGGACAAAATATGTGCGAAAAGTGTTGTAAACATCTCTATATACACACGGGGACAAGTATTTTTTTTATTATCACCTTAACACCAAGGGAAAAACAAAAGCATAATTCGTTTGAAAAATACTGGCAGGTACTAAACATTAAAGGTAACCATATGACGGTCATCCTCCAGTTGTATTAAATTATTGAATCAGTATTAATCTTTTTTTATTCATAAGAAACATGTTATTTGATATATCGGAAACTAAGAGGACAAAATTGTTATCAAACCAATCTTGTTTATGACACGTCCTTTTTTGTCATTTAATACGTAGTTGGAAGGATTTAAGCAAATTGCTAAAATGATGCCAATGATTCCATTTGCATTTATTTTACTAATGGTTGAACAAATTATTTTTTTTTATAATAAATGCATTGCATTCTCGCATCCAAAATACTCATCCGATTCTGACATAAATTGTCAAGTATCAAGATACTTTTTTTAAAATCAAATCCCTTTGGTATGTCAATGTCTTAAGGTTCAATTTGGCGTGTTTAAAGGCAGTTGAACGACGCATAGCGTGTATGGACCAACCATGAAATCTGAGAGCGAATGAATGTTGTAAATCAACTGAATGTTCTCAACATTTTTTACTGTCCTGTAGGATAGGGTTACCATGGATATTGGACTAATAGGGAGAAAAAGTTACGGATAAAAACAAATTATATGGCCTGTCATTATTAAGGTACTTTATCTGTACACTTTGTGTAACATACACTAAAACTTATTAAGTAAGTAACTACATGCTTTTTCTACGTCAATATTTAAAAGAATTCTAGTAATGTTACTTTCCTACTAACAATATTTCTTGCAATAAAGAAACAATATCTACAATCAACAATAAAATGGCATAATTTGGGCCAACTAATATTGAAGAGATACATCTTATACTTGAAACACTTATCATAACCCTAAAAAACTTTAGAGTAAATCAGAATGTCCTTTTTTAATAAACCAAAGAGTTCACTAACTCAATACAACCTTCCAATGTCAATTTATAAGGCAAAGGATATGTTTATGGTCACCCTATCGAAGGAGGCTTTTAAGTTTATCTAAAAGCTCGGACGCGCTTGTTTGTTGATCACGTCGAGAACAAAACATTAGAGCCTTACCTTCAGATACGAATCGTCACTTAAAGCTTTTAGAAATTCAACAAACAAAAAGACACGTCGTTATAACATTATCATGCATTTAAATAAGATCTTGAAGGAAATTATACAGTTAAAAAGGTTTTCTGAATCAAAAACAAACTCATTCTGCTAAAAGGTTTGAAGATTGAACAGTCAGCGTAAAATGAGTTCATATTTTGAAATATAGTTTTCAAGGCAATTTGATACGACGTATCGGTAAATATTAGAAAACATTTATTAAAGGTGATACATTTGGTAGAGTAAAGCTGACACTCTGTTACCAGTCTTTAAACACCAAATTATGAAAATCTGAATCCGCATGTGGTGATGAAATTACAAATACTCAATAATTTATAGCCTCCATAATGTACAAATAAACAAATTGATATGCACAATTCTCTTGAACTGCTATAATAAATATTAAATTGTTCTTAATAAGCCTACGTATTCCCCATAAAGCCTTGTAGGACTAAACTGTGTGACCATGTGTGGTAGCACTAAAGTTTCATTTTATTGGAACTCTATAATGTTCGCGAATAAACGCTGAGTGTAAATAAGTCGTATCTCCTACCCTATGGTTTCTTAGCAAGTCCATAAAAGTGATTTCAGTCGTGTAATGTTTGGGCCAGTATAAGGAAATAATAAAATCGTTAAAATAATGTGAACTTCACTTTGCAGTGGGTTTTCAATGTCGTTCACTGCAACTTAACGAGTAAACTTGTTGCTCATTATTTTGCAAATTTTGATAGGAACCTTTTAAATCTGAAGAAATATGCCAGAATGCCAATAAGTTTGACAAAAGTTTTAACAAAACTCGCCTGATATTCATCAATGTTTTCGTTCAGGAAGTGATAGTAGAATTTATTTTTAAATTATGTAGTTTTCAATACATGCTTTATCTACATATGTATGTAAGTAGATTTAACTTGCACAATAAT